ACTTTAACATCAGAGTCTCTTTTGCAGGTACCACCCCCACTGCGGAACAACAAACGTATCCAGGAAAGGAGGCTCACCAGTCTTACCTAGAAGATCGTCCCCTACGACCGATCTCCGGTAAGAACATTTGGCATCCACCGTGGGGCCGATCAGGACATCTCTTATCGGCCACGTGTATGGTTTTCACCCGAAGCCATAGTAGACGAGCAATAGACGACCTAGATCGCGCAACAAGAATGGAAGGTGAAGCAGCATTGAGGAGTCTGAGCGAGTAGGTCGATCAAATGCGGCAGCAACACGCGGTCGGCCTGGAAAACATCCATACCCGACACGAAGCCGACCTAACAGCTTTACGTGCTGAGAACAAGCGCATTCGCGCCCAGCTTCCTTGGTGCCCCTCTGATCAGCCCCCTCAACCAAGCAATCAAAACGAGGAAGAGGGGCATTCGGTTTCTCAACCACCGACTGCACCCAGGGCGGCGACCCATAGGTCTACTATATACAGGTCACACGTACCAACAAACAGGTCAAACCATGAAGTCAGCAATGCCCCTGCCCAGGCACCAGGGTACAGGGCGAGCATCCGCCGCCATCCTTTTGTCGACGACATCATGGAGACGCCCTTCCTTTTGGATGGAAGTCTCTCAACATCGACCACTATGATGGCACCACCGACCCAGATGAGCACGTCGATCTGTACATCACGCAGGTAAACCTATACACTAACAAAGATGCTATTATGTGTAGGGTTTTTTTTGACCTCGCTCAAGGGATTGGCGCTCACCTGGTATACTCAATTGCTAGCGGGATCGGTCGATAACTTCGACACTCTGGTTACACGATTCACGACACATTATGCGACAAGTCGACCTCATCACATCATGCTCGCCGCCTTGGCCAGTCTCAGACAGGGCAACGACGAACCACTGAGGGCGTTCATGGAGCGCTTTGCTAGCATCTCGGTCAAGATCCGCAACCTAAATCCCGAGGTCACCCTTCACGCCATGCTCATGGCGCTCAAGCCAAGACCTTTCGTCGACAACCTGTGTCAGTGACCTCTCCAAGATATGGACGAACTCCGTGCCTGAGCTGCAGGGTACATTCAGATAAAGGAACACACCGCTTTTCACGACCAAGTTCGTGGAAAATCACAGGCAAAGCCGGACCACGATCACAAGGATAAGGTGAAAGTCACCAATGATAGCCAGTTCAAGAAGGCTGCTAGGGCAAACAAAGGAGGGAGGTATGACTTCTACACCCCCCTGAATGCGCCCCGAGTACACATCCTGGAAGAGGCCAGCAACACCAATCTGATCACTCTGCCACCGCCTTGACACAGTTACAACAGCGCGGACAAGTCCAAGCATTGTCGATACCATAGAAACTATGGTCTCACAACCGAGGAGTGTTGCACGTTCAGAGACCGTATTGAGGAACTCGTCCAAGGAGGGCATCTCGGACAGTACGTCTAACGGCAGCAATCTCATAGAGGAGGTTACCATGGACGAGGACGAGGACGAGGCTGAGGTTCTGGCACTCACACAGACCAACCCTTCAGATCTTAGTAAAACACTGGCAGAGCGGTGCAGGCCGAGGTAAATCAGGATATAGGGTCGGCTCCCTTGCAAGGAGTCATCAACACAATTACAAGTGGCTTCGCAGGGGGAGGCTCTAGTAGCTCGGCACGCAAAAGGCACTTGCAGAGCATCAACAATGTCCACACTGACACCTCGGCCCCGCACCGCAATACTCCAGCCATCACCTTCATAGACGATGACTACACCGACGTTTGTCCAAACCAGGACGACCCTATGGTCATCGCTGTGGAAGTAGCAAATTGGGAGGTCCACAAGGCACTGATAGACCAGGGAAGCTCAATTGATGTCCTATACTGGCCGACGTTCCTAAGATTAGATATTCCTTACTCCCTCATTCAACCTCACACAGAACCCCTAGTCAATTTTACAGGAGAGTGAGTTCACACTTGAGGGTACATTGATCTGTTGACAACCTTTGGGACCCCTCCTGACTCAAGGAGAATCATGGTCAGATACCTCCTTGTTAAGGCCAACACAACCTACAATATCATCATCGGAAGGCTGACGTTGAACCAACTCGGAGCTGTGGTGTCTACCCCGCACCTGACGATGAAATTCCCAGGGAGCAATGGCAAGATTATCTCAGTCAGGGCAAACCAGAAGAAAGCTCAGCAATGCTATGCCGAGAGCCTGGAGGTCTTGCCATCAGAGGAGCGCCACCGAGGTGACCCCCCTACAGTAGCTCACATAGCCCAGGTTGACATCATTGACCTGGACCCAAGGTCGGAATCCCATGATGAACGGCCAAGCCCCATCGATGACCTCGACGACCTTCAAGTCGGTAAACTCCCTGGATAGTGCACGAAGATAAGCCGACAGCTAAACCCAGAGCTGCGGCAGCGGCTCATAGAGGAAATTTGTAAAAATACTGATCTTTTTGCATGGTCGAGTGCCGACATGCCAGTTATTGATCCTAACCTCATCTGCCACAAGTTAGCCATTCACAAGGAAGCAAAGTCGATTGCTCAGAGAAAAATGAAAGTCAGAGGGGAAAGAGGCGATGGCATCATCGCCGAGACACAAAAGCTGATGAACGTGGGCTTCATCCGTGAAGTCAGATACACCATGTGGTTGGCGAACATGGTACTAGTAAAAAAGAACTCGGGGAAGTGGCGCATGTGTATCAACTATACCGACCTCAACAAAGCATGGCCCAAAGACTCGTACCCCCTACCGAGTATCGATAGGTTGGTTGATGGCGCCTTCAGCCATGCCCTCCTCAGCTTCCTCGACGCATATTCTGGGTATAATCAGATCATGATGTACCCACCAGACAAGGAACACACAGCCTTCATCACTGATCACGCCAACTTTTGCTATCACGTGATGCCTTTTGGCCTTAAAAATGCCGGAGCCACTTACCAGCGTTTGATGGATAAGGTCTTCCAGCACCAAATTGGGAGAAATATGGAGGTATACGTGGACGACATGGTCGTCAAAACACTGTCAGCCGAGGCTCATGCTGCCAACTTGGCTGAGGTATTCAACCAAATCTGAAAACACAACATGCGCCTCAATCCAAAAAAGTGTGTTTTCGGCGTCCAAGGAGGTAAATTTCTTGATTTTATGATCATCAGCAGGGGAATTGAAGCCAACTCGGAGAAGTGCAAAGCCATTATATAGATGTATAGTCCTTAGACTGTCAAGGATGTCCGACTCTTGGCAAGAAGGTCAGTCTCTCTTTCTCGCTTCATCCCTAGGTTGGCAGAGAAAGCAGGGCCCATCTTCACCCTATTGCGAAAGCCAAAGAACTTCGAATGGACTGACCAATGTGAAGAAGCTTTCAAAAGCTTCAAAATTTTCCTCACCACTCTGCCAGTCCTTCAAAGGCTGGATCATCACTCTGACCTCCTCCTCTATCTGGCCGTGGCAGAAGGCGCAATGAGAACAGTAATAGTGCAAGAGCACCACAAAGTGCAAATGCCCATTTACTTCATCAGTCGAGTCCTCCAAGACACGGGAGAAACGATATTAGACGATCGAGAAGCTGGCACTAGCACTCGTCACTACAGCTCGGCGCCTCTGACCTTACTTCCAACGTCACTAGGTGGTCGTCAAAATCGACAACCCAATTAAGTAGATACTGAGAAAGCCAGAACTCGCCGAGCGCATGATAGCATGGTTAGTGGAGCTATCCGAGTTCGGCATCCAATATGAAAGTTGAGGCCCCTTGAAAACTTAGTGCCTAGCAGATTTCGTGGCCGAACTCACCCCAATCTCGGCAGAAGAAAAACAGGTATGAACTCTACACGTTGATGGATCTTCCAACTCTAAAGGTGGTGGTGCATGTATTATCTTGAAAGGACCAAACAAAGTCACAGTAGAGCAATCTCTTAAGTTTGGCTTCAAGGTCACCAACAACCAGGCAAAATATGAAGTGTTGCTAGCAGGTTTGAGGTTGGGTCATGACCTTGGAGCACGAAGGGTGAACTGTAACAGCGACTCAAAGCTCATGGTGGAGCAGCTTAGTGGGGTATACCAGACCAAGGACACCCTACTGTAAAGGTACTTTCATGTAGCGTCCCAACAAATCTCATCTTTCGATGAATTCACCATACACCATGTGCCCCGATCTCCTGTCTAAACTCGCCAGTACAAAACACCCTGGGCAACATCAGACCATCATCCAGAAGACCCTGAATTCACCAGTCTAGACGAGAAAGTCGTCAACACTAGTAATAGTGAAGACCAAGGATGGATGACAGGTATTTGGAACTACTTAAAGGAGGGAACTCTACCCGAAGATAAAGACGAAGCTAGGAAGATGAAGGTAAGGTCAGCCAAGTTCGTCATCATTGGAGCCGAATTGTTCAAATGCGACATCTCCACTCCTCTGTTAAAATGCCTAGCAGAGTCCCAAGCCACCTATGTCGTCGAAGAGATCCACCGAGGGATATGTGGGATGCACTCTAGGGCACGCTCGATGGTGACCAAGGTACTCCAGGCTGGGTACTATTGACCCACACTGAAGTCGGATTGCCAAGCTTATGTACAAAGGTGCAAGGAATGTCAGCAGTTTGGTAACGCACATCGACAACCACCTGAAGTCCTCCACTAGATGATGTCATCGTGGCTTTTTGCCCAGTGGGGAATGGACATCCTCGGACCATTTCCCCCCGCGAAAGGTCAACTCAAATTCCTCCTAGTGGCAATCGACTACTTCACCAAGTGGATCGAGGCATGCCCACTCACGAAGATCACTACCGAGAATGTGCAAAAATTTACTTGGAAGAGCATCATTTGCAGGTTTGGCATCCCACACTCCCTCATCACTGATAATGGCAGACAATTCATCGCGCATAGCTTCGAGAACTTCTTTCGAGAGCTCGGAATCAAGCACCTTCCAACCTCGGTGGAACATCCCCAAACCAATGGCCAAGCCAAAGCCGCGAACAAAGTAATACTTTGAGAGCTCAAGAAGCGGCTAGGAAGCGCCAAAGGACAATGGATCGACGAGCTCCCCAACATTCTCTGGGCGTACCACTATACCCTCCAATCAACAACACAGCAAATGCCTTACAGGCTGACTTACGGAGCCGATGCCATGATCCCAGTGGAGGTCCGCGAGACTTTTCATCGATGTCATACCTTCGATAGTGAGCAAAATGCTCAAGAAACACAATCAACCTCGACCTGATTGACGAGCTCAGAGAGGAGGCTCAGATCCATGAAGAAGCTTGCAAACTTCGAGCCTTCAAAAGATACAACACATGAGTCTGACCTCACTCTTTCTGGGTTAGCGACCTGGTGTGGCAACTACTAGCCGAAGCACGAAGAGACCCATCAGAAGGGAAACTCACGCCTAACTGGGATGGCCCATTTCGAGTTACAAAAGACCTAGAAAATGGGGCATACCGACTAGAAGAGCTCAGCGGAAAAACCATCCCACGAGCTTGGAATGCCACGCATCTCAAGTTTTACTTCAGTTGAAATGTACAAATGGGTTATGCACTCTTTTCTTGACTCATTCTTTTGTCCCAAAAAATAGAAAAATGGGTTTTGGTTGAGAGGGTTTTTAATGAGGCATACCCACAACATTAATAAAATCACTCATTTCGCTCATATCCTCTCAATTTTACACCGCATTAACTCAAATTATATTCTGTTAAGCCAAGGTCAAATTCGAACCTTGGCACAAATTATATTTTGCCAAGCCAAGGTCGAATTCGAATCTTGGCACAAATTATATTTTGTTAAGTCAAGGTCGAATTCGAACCTTAACTCAAATTATATTCTGTTAAACCAAGGTCGAATTCGAACCTTGACTCAAATTATATTTTGTTACGCCAAGGTTGAATTTGAACCTTGGCACGAGCTATATTATTTTTCTACGCCAAGGTCGAATTCGAACCTTGGCACGAGTTATATTATTGTTCTACGCCAAGGTCGAATTCGAACCTTGGCACGAGTTATATTATTTTTCTACGCCAAGGTCGAATTCGAACCTTGGCACGAGTTATATTATT